TACTACTTTCCAGAGCTTGTCGAAGATCAAAAGATAATCCAATAGAGAATATTTCAAGTTTTCGAGAAGTAGAGAGAATGAACATCAAGGTAGTACAAATTCAGCTACATTTATCGATTTTTTCTTGTTTGTTTTATTTTTATTTTTATTTAGATTTTACTAAATTATATATATTTTTTTTTATTTGCAGGTAATTCAGAATATCATAATGCCAATTTAGGTTTTAATGATGATTTTTCTCTTAATTTTGTTAATGATGATACGAGTGATCAGAAATATTTAGACGACGGAAATATGAATGAGCTGACAAGTTCTCCAAGTTTTGAGGTGGTTGAGGAAATTAAAGTTAATCACGGAATGTTTGTTTCTAGTCGCCAAGTAGCCAAGACATTCTTTCACCAAATAGTGCCTTCAGAGACAGTGAAAGTTCACCTAAATCTAGCAACAATATCGCCAGCTAACTTATCATATTCTATACATAAAGTAGAAAAGAAATTAAGGTTTGATAGTAAAGATGATTTTTCAAAGAATTTCAAGTCATTCAGAAGATGGAAGTTTATAAGGATCATCGAATCGATAAAGTCATGGGGAAAGATATCAAGTGTTGTTGCTTTCACTATTGTGCTTCTCTTGATGCATTGTTTTTATATCGGAGAAGACATTGTAGAGAAGAATACTTACTTGATGGATGATCATGACAATCTACGAGAAAAAGATGGGTTTAAGAAGAACATTAACATGAATAAGTGGTATCAAGGAATTCAATGCAATGTCAACGGAAGTTCGACAGAGGACTTGGTTGCGAGTTGTAATGTGTACATGAAGAAATTAGGGCTTGTGCTTGCTGTTGCTTTGGCACTTTGTGGGATGTGGGTGAACAATAATATCATATAACTTTAGTTTTAAAACTTAATTATTGGGTTTTAATTTTTCTTATTTATTCATTTATTAATTAGGTGAAAGGGTAACCAGTCTCCTTAAAGATTCCAGGCACAACTTAGTTATCCTAATATACATGCATATATATACTTGTAATCTTTTATACATTCATATTAACTTATGAATTGATTATCATAATTATAAGTGATTCAGATTAATGAAATTCCGATATTTCATCTTTTTCTTTTATAAAATTTTTAACTTCTGTAATATTCTAATATATTGTTGACTATTAATTTTTGGAGGAAGTATATAATTATTATAGATACATATATAAATACATATATGGGCACAAAATTTTTATTGTTAGATTACTTTGTCAAGAATTTTCTATACACTTGCCTTGAAGGGGAATATTTAGTATAATAAATATGTGCAACCTCATATTTTCTATATTTTTGTAGAGATAAAAAATTCTCAAAATATATTATTCATGTAAAGTTACCAGAAGGGGCTGACGGACAGGCGGTAGGGTTGGGCCTGACTTGGCCCATTTAGATGGGCTAATTGAGCCGAAACTAGCCGAGTTAACTAGCTCTATTTGGCTCAGCCTGAGCTCACCCATTTATCTCTAGAGTCGAAAGAAAAAAAAAATTACAAAATGATTAATAAAACAATAGCAAAAATTGATAAAATTAATAATAAAATTCGTAAAACTTATCAAAATAATAATAATAACTTAAAAAATAAAAAATAAAAATAAATTAAGAATAAAATTAAATTACGACCCAGAGGCCAAACTAAGCCCAGCCCATTAGACCTGATGAGCCCGACTTACCATTAGTTCGGCCAATAGGCCCGACCTGGCCCATAAAAAGGTAGCCTGAAAACATATCAGGTTATTGGACAAAATGAAATGAAAATAAGTAGTCCATACACACGTGTGTGTATATACGTACACACGGAGATATATGTGTATATTTATATAAACATATATATATATATATATATATATATATACATATTATAAATTTGCATTTTAGAGAGGAGTGAATAGGCATCATGTGATTCTTCATTCTTACCTTTTTCTTTTTCTATAATGGGAGTCAAATCAAATGCTTCTTCACGGACTTGTTTTGCGATCCTCACGTTGATGAAACTTGTGAATAAACAGTAAAGAAACACAAATAAATTGTTTATATATATATATATATATATATATGCATATGTATGTATGTATGTATGTATATGTTTATGTCTGTAAGAACGAGAATGCATGCCTACAAGTAAAAGTGGAACAGAACGTGCTTCCCCACCTAACCACGAATATATAATTTTTTATTATCAAAAAAATCCAATTATATTGTTTTAACACATTGTCTTATCCCAAATAATAAAATTAAAAAAAAATTAATTATCATAAAATATTTTTTTATTTAAAAATATAATAAATTCGTTTAAATTTAAATCTTATTAAATCAAATATTTTGAATTGATGACCGATACAATTTATGATATGTTCATAAAATAAATAATTTTTAATTTTTAAATAAAATACAAAAATCTTTACTGTATTATTAATTATATAAATGTTAACATGTCCCATTTCTTTACACCCATTTATCAGTTGTCAATAATCATACATCACAGAAATTACTGGGATAAATCAGAGCCGTTGATCAGAGAGCGCAGGCAATCCATGATGAGCTGGCAGAGCACAGGATAGACACCCCTCATAGTGGTTATGCAGAGCACATGGTGAGATGAATGAGAGTAAGGAGTCAAAAAAACAAAGAACAAAAGAAATGTAAAGAAAATGACAAAATAACGAGTCACGGAGTCACCCACCGTCTTATTCTCATTAATCAAAATTACATTTTTACCCTTATAATTTTTTTTTGTAATATTTTTAAATTACAGAAAAAACATATATATACATATATAATATATTTAAATTACCGTAAAAAAACCCACATGAGCACAATTTTTTGTCACCAAACAGGCCCCCTGCCACTCCAAAAGCTGCAAAATAACCCTCTGTATCTCACTCTCTGTGTGTGTGTGTGTGTATAGATACATATACATGAATATAATATAAGAGAGAGAGGGTATATGATAGAGTGGCAAGTGGGTTTTTGTTGTTTTCTTGGACTACCCATTATGTCTTCTTCTTCTTCTTCTTCTTCTTCTTCTTCTTCCTCCATTTTCAGTCTCAGTAAGTTGCAGTTGCAGGTTTTGGTGTTGGCTGTCTGGGTGGTGAGTGGTGCTGTGCGCATAGCAAATGGAGGGAGTGCTGTGAAGGTGGGAAATATTTCAAAGGTGGAAGATGCAGAGAATTTCCATATTTACTATGGCCAGACCTTCAAGGTCATCAAGAACGCCATTGATGGCAAAAGTTACCTTCTTATCCAGGTACCATATATATATATATATATATAATATGTACTCTTCTTCCTAAACTCATCTCTAAATATTCCTATGTATACATACATTCATGTGTGTGTTTATAATTTATCAAACATTACATATCAAAATAATTATATGGTTTGGACATTAAGGATAATTCAAGGATGGCAGCAAGAACAAAATATTGCACTGCAAGGATTAAATCATTTGTCATCCCTTTGTCCAACTATTCTGTTGATACTGATTTATTTCCAGGTATTTATTTATTGCCTTAATTAATAAGTTAATCACCTTAATAATCAGTAATTATACTAATTAATTAGTTAGTTAGTTAATTACCCATTTTTCCTAACTTTGATTTAATTAATATTTTATCTAACCTTTACTTTTT